GGAACAATCACACAGGATGGTCTTGCTCTATCAACCAACCCCTTCAACCGTGGACTGTTAGTTCCACTGTCCCCTCCACCTGACTCTGAAACCCTCTCAGCATCTCAGCCCATTTTCACTGTCTTCTCTGAAGCATTTCCTTCCCTGACATTCTGGGGCTCAGAGCAAACCCAGGCTGCTGTCTCTGGCCCTCTTCACCTGAAAGTTCTGATATAGGAGAGGGGCACGAGCACTGTACAAATTAAGGTCAAAGTGAAGTTGGGGGTCGGAGTGTGCTGCTTGGCAGGCTACTCAGCTGACCAGAGATGCGAGCAGACCAAGAGGAAGGAGGCTGCAAACAAAGAAAATTCCTGCAAGTAGCTATTCCTGATAAACAGCCACTCACCTGTTAGCTTATCATTTACCCACACCATAAAGGGAAAACAGGCCACAAAATATGGCTTGTAAGGGTTAACATTAATCCCAATGGTTTTCCCACTCTCTGTTTTCCCATACCAGTCATTTTCCCTCGGTATTAAGGAGAGATACAAGCTCACGTTCTAGAGACAGTTGGGCTGTCTCTTCCTCCTCTATTGTCTGTGGAGTGGCTTTTCTTACTTGTTTCCATTTCTCAGTAAAACCTTCTTTTCTACTTTAACATCTTGTCCAGTTCACGTCTGGAATGCTTTCCTGGGCAGAACCAGGGACCCTCTTGGCTCAGGTTTGGGTCCGCACGAGGACCCTGCCCCTCCAGCATTGGTTCTACCTTGCTGTCGCAGCTTGGCAATGAGGAAAATTCTAGACATTGCCCCTTGTCACAGTGTCAGGTGGGATACGAGGAAGAGGTTTTGTGCGCTCCTGATTCCCCAAACTTACCTGAGGGTTCTAAGTGTCGCCTGCCCCTGAATTTCCCACAGTCCAACCCAACTAGCATCCCTCTGTTACACTCATCTCTGACCATCTTATCTTCTCCAAGCTTCAGTATAATCTTGGGCAAGGAAAGGGAATGCTGTTTTATGTGTTGTGTCATGTGTTTCATACATCTACAACTGGGCTACATCTACAATTGCAGCTTTTGAAACTGCTCCTTTTTTCATTTTTAGAGGGAGGGGGAGGGAGGGAGAGAAATATTGATATGCAACAGAAATGTGGATCGTTTGCCACTCACTGCCGCCAACCCAGGACCTGGCCCGCAAGCCAGGCATGCGCCCTGACCAGAAATCAAACCAGCAACTTTTAAGTCTGTGGGACTGACATGCAACCCACTGAGCCACACCAGTCAGGGCAAAACAGCAGGTATTAATGTCGGCGTGTATGCAGTCCATCTGTGAACAGATAATGATGATGATCACATTTTAACAAAACAGGTGGGGAATAAGAACAAAGGGTTGATGGGACCCAGAAATTGCACCCTCATCCTCTTCTCAAAATGCTGGTCAAATACTCCATACTGTTTGGCTTTTCACCTAGGGCATTTGCGAAGGGAGAAGCTGAGAGAACACAAGAGCGGAAGTGCCGCAGTGAGAGTTCTGGTACTCCCATCTGCTACTTCTACCACTACTGCACTCTTGACCTTTGGCTTCGGTTCCCTCATCCAGAAAATTACGGGGCACTTCCCGCTCTACAGTACTCTGATTTTCTGTCTTCTGAGGGGTGGTTGGGTAGTATCTTGGCTAATTATGTAGGAGACAGCGACTTCAGGAAACATAGGAATGTGTTGTAACTGATGAAAAGACACGGGTTTTCACATAATTGCTTGTAACTTGGGACTGACTCAAAAGGGGAATTTGTGGAGGACTGCAGGAAACCTGCCTTGTCCCTGTATGTGTGTGCTTAGACGTGCCAACGGAAGGAAATGGTCCCATTCATCACGATGAAATGACCTCCTGTTTAGTTTAGCTGGGCCCCTATGTACAGTTGCACAGGCTGGCTACAGCTGAAGGTTAATTGGCCATATGGCCAAGTGAGGCTGAAATCCCTCCCTCCCTTCTCTTACCTAGCTCTGTGCTCTGATTTGGGGCTACTCAGTCCACAGGGGCCTTTAATGAACTTGTTCCACCAGAGGGCCACCATTTTTTCAACAGGTACTGAGGTGCTGTGCAGCCTAGCACTTGAAGCTTTTGTGTGAAATGAGAAATAATAGGACAAATGGAGAAGAACCTGTTGCAGTTGGGAATGAGCATCATGGCGTAGGTGTGAGGCAGGGTAAGCGCTAACACAGAGAAGGTTGAGGAAGGCTGGGGTAAGGCACCCAGCAGTGAGGGAGGAAGGGAAAGGTGGGGAGGAGGCCCATGAGACTGGCAGTACCTGCTACCTGTGACTGAGTCCTGCAGCCCATCTCACCTCTGTCTGTGCTGACCAGGGAAGGGCAGTTTGCTGTCCCCTCAAGAGCTCTGTGCCACAACTGAAAACCAAGATGCGCTCCTATCAGATCTGGCCTTGTGTCAAGGAATCCTCTCATGTATTTCTTCATCCGATGTTCATCTAAATCCTTTGCTTAGAAAGTGTTTCTTTTTGCCCTGGCTGGTGTGGCTCAGTGGATTGAGCACTGGCCCACGAACCAAAGGGTCACCAGTTCGATTCCCGGTCAGGGCACGTGCCTGAGTTGTGGGCTAGTAGGGGGTACGCAAGAGGCAACCACACATTGATGTTTCTCTCCCTTTCTTTCTCCCCCCCTTCTTCCCCTCTGTCTAAAAATAAATAAGTGAAATCTTTTTAAAAAATGTTTCTTTTACATGACTCCTTCCACTTTAGCCTTTTCCATATTTAATGTTCTTTTTTTTTTTTTTTTTTTTTTTTTTGATAAACAACTGGTTCCTGGCACCTGGTATTGTCCTAGATCTTGAGGCATCTCCAGGGCTCCATGATATTTCCATACGTGGCACTTTTTGACACGGCCTCGATGGGGAGGAGCCATCTGCTGCCTCCTCAGTGCTCTGTTGCCCATCGACACTACAGCAAAGGGTTGCGGCCAGCGTCCTGCGAGTGCTTCTCCTGGCCTACCGTGGGCAACAGCCAATAGATGAATGCATCTCACAGCAACAATATTACTAGTAATGACAACACTAGGTGTACTTGTAGAGTGCTTACTCTGTGCCAGCGACTGTTCTGAGGCATCCACACACATGAGCACATGTGATCCTCAAAGCTACCAGAGGAGGACCGTCTCCCATTGGAGATGAGGAAACTGGGACTCAGAGAGGCTCATCTGCTGCAGCTGGTGATTGTGTTTCTGGGCCACCCACACTGCCTTGTAGGCTTGCCAGGCAGGGGCACTTAATGACAGATCATCCACATTGTGAAATAAAGGTCTGTGTCAGCATGGATGGGAAGGGGAAGAACAAAAGGGAGACTCCCAGGAGCTTTGTGCCCTCACAGGGCAGGACTTGCTGAGTACACGTGGCCCCTGAGGGCCCGTTTCTGGGCTCAGGCAGAGGGCTGGATCCTATGGTCACTTTCCTTGGGGGACTAAACTCCTGGTTTGCCACGACTGTCCGGCCCTGCCCTGCTGTTGATTCCATTTTCATGTTTTATGGTTGCTGGTTGTGTGGGAAAACCTGGGAAGGCTCATTTGATTTGAATCTCTGGCTAATTTTGATGAGTGTGCCCGGCATAGGCAGTGGACTGTTTGTAAGTATAACCCCACTGTGCGCCACGCTTTATGAAATCCCAATTAAGTGGCCTATAATTGGATGGCACACTGTGTCCCGGAAGCCAGGGCATGTGTATCTGACTTCTCTAGAAAGGCTGACAAATGCTCCGACCTGAAGAGGTCTTCCTCAGCACAGACTGCAGTCATTTTTACTTACTTTTTATTTTTTCTTGTATTTTCCCATTACCATCTAGTCCCCTGATACTCCCCCTTCCCCACACTGTTGTCTGTGTCCATGAGTCATTTTTCCTTTTTGCTCAATCCTTCCAGCCCCTAACCCTGCTCAGCTGTCAGCCTGTTCTGTATCTATGAGTCTGTCTCTGTTTTCCTTGTCAGTTCAGTACATTCATTAGATTCCACATATGAATCAGATCATATGGTACTTGTCTTTCTCTGACTGGCTTATTTCACTGAGCATCATGTTCTCTAGGTCCATGCATGCTGTCGCCCTAGCTCGTGGCTTCATCAGCTCACCAATACCCTTTGTGATAGATAATAAGCTTGAAGACCTCATCTGGTGGCCACCACCCAGTCTCTTGGTTTCCCTGGAAACATTTGCTCACAAGTAAAGTTAGCGTTGTTTACCATCAGATCGATAGAAAATGTTCCTCTATAAAAGTTCTTCACCCCTGGGCCAGGCTTAGCTCACAAGCTGCAGTTTGCTGACCTCTGTTCTAGGTTAAGCCTCTGAGACAGAGCTTACAATCCAATGCACTTATCAGGCCAAATCAGGAAATTAAATTTTCCGGCCTCATGAATGAATTCTCATGCTCATCCATTCATTCAGTGAACAGTTATGGAGCTCATACTATACTACACCACACGCTGGCTTAGTGCAGGGACACCCAGGAGAAAGATGGCCACAGCCTGGTGGAGAACCCACATCCACCTTACTCATGCTGTCCTGGAAATGTGTGGAATGAAGATGAAGCAATGCAAATGTTATTTATACCTGTCAATTATGTAACAAAAGATGGCACATAACAGATTTATGGCAAACTTTTAAAAAAACACCCTAGAATTTTCTAAGTGAATGGAAAAATGTTTCCATCTCTCCCTCATTTTTCCCCCTGATCCTGCTCTCCAGAACTAAATGATGTTAACAGTTTGGCAAGAACCCTCCCAGCTACCCTTCCCCCACCTACATACAGAGACACAGGAACTCACAAAAATACACTGGATAAGTCTGGTTCAGGCTATATTTAAATCATTTTATAAATGACTCCCCTCTCCCCCCAATTTCAGTTTTGAAATTTTAAAGCATGGTCAATAAATGATTTGGCAACAGTTAAGAAATCACAAGTTCCCTTCTTCGCACATAAACTTCTGCAAACCACATGCTAGGTTTCACTGATGGTAAAGCCAACACTTTCAGGAAGTTAGTCAGTTTCTCCTCTCTGCGTGCGCCTACTGCACAGAAGGTACCACTCTGCAGGGCTGCGTGCCGGCCATGGAATGAGAACTTACAAGGGCTGACAACAGGAAAACGGTAAGCTACTTCTATTCCTTTAACAAAGCTTTCTGACAAAATGTGATTTCTGACCCTGAAGTACGGTTTGGTGGCCAAATAGTATGAACAGAGAAAGTGGTGAATGAGCACATATGCATTAAATGGTTTAGTATTGAGCTCTGACCAGTGTGGCTCATTGGGTTGGGTGTCACCCCACAAAGCGAAAAGTTACAGGTTCTATTCCTGTTCAGGATACATGCCTGGGTTGCAGCTTTGGCCCCAGTCAGGGCATGTACGAGAGGCAACTGATCAATGTTTTTCTCTCACATCAATGTTTCTGTTTCCCTCTCTTTCTCCCTCCCCTCCACTGTCTCTAAAATAAATAAATAACAATTTTTTTAAAAAGGTTTAGTGTTGAAACAACTCTAAATATAGGCAAAGTGGCCTGCTATACAGAAAATTTAAAAAATCAGATGTGCTGGTCTTACTAGTTTGGACAGAAGGGGAAGCCAATTCCAAGGCTTCGGAAGACCTGAAGCTAATCCATTAGCCTCTGGGTTTGATTTCTGCAAATAAAATGAAAGCTCTGGGTGTGCCTTGTCTAAACAGCTGAGGCTGTGGATCACGGAGAGGGCAGTCGGAGTTCATTCTCTCTTACAATCACTGCTGCTCATCCTTGCATGTAATAACCCCCAAACAGTGTGGGTTCATGAGGCAGGAGGCTGCCTCATGGAAACGCCAGACTTAGGGAGTATCGGGTTGTGTCTCAAGGGGGAGGATGTCATTACTGGATGTTGGCTTTAAGTGTGTCTTAGTGCTACCTCCAGAACCTATTGAAGGGACGTCCTGGCTGGATGGCTCACTTGGCTGAAGCATCATCTTGTATACCAAACAGTTGTGGGTTCCATCCCCAGTCAGGGCACATACCTAGATGGCAGGTTTGATCCCTGGTCGGGGCATGTATGAGAGGCAACCAATCAGTGTTTCTCTCTCACATCAATGCTTCTCATTCTCTTTCTGTCTCCTTTCTTCTTGCTTTAGCATCAATAATCATATCCTTAGGTAAAGATTAAAAAATAAAACATAAAAAGTTCTATTTAGGGGAGCATCATTCCAATGGAATATATTTGAGTTCAACTGAGTTTTTAAATGGGGTTGAGGGATTTGTTAGTTTTAAACTATTATCCCCAATTTATCACTATTGGGCTACAAGGACATAGGAAATTTAAATGCGTAACCCATGGTTCTGGATCAGCATTAGCAAGAAAATGCTGTGTTGACTTTTCAGATGGTTAGAGAGCTGGTGTACCCGTCTGAAATCAGTGTACTTCCAGTTGTCGTATAGGACTGTCATAAACCGACCACCGCAGAGAGGCAAGGTGGGTAATCCACCCCAGCATTTGAACCCTGAAGGTTCCAGGTCTGGCCATGGTATCTCTGCTGGTAATCAAAACCAGATTATTGCTGCCCTGGCTAGTGTGGCTCAGTGGGTTGAGCACCAGCCTGCAAACTTGAAGGGTTGCTGGTTCGATTCCTGGTAAGGGTACATGCCTGGGTTGTGGGCTGGTTCCCAGTCAGGGCACATGCAGGAGGCAGCAATCAATGTTTCTCTCCTTCACTTTAGCCTCTTGATTCTCGCTCTACCGATTGGTCCACTATTCAGGTACCTGTTGACTCAGTTTCAGCTCTGCCACCTACCATCTGAGTGGCCTTGGGTAACTTAGCCTTTCTGAGCCTCAGGTTCCATGTCTGTAAAATGAGGGCTTGTGAAAGCACCTGTCTGACCGATGTGTAGGAGGGCTGAATGAGCAAATGCATGACTTGTACTCAGTGCAGTGTGTGCCTTGTGGTAAAGCACTCACCAAGTGCTCCCGACCATATTTCTCAAAATTCCAATAACATAACTTCTCATAGAAAATCAAGTTCTGTCTGCTCATTGATTTGTGCATTTAATGTGGCAGTGGTTTCTTTCATCTCCAAAGCTGTTCATGAGTCTGTGGAATTTGGGTAAAATATGGTATCTATTATTGGATGAAATAAAATATTATTGTCCGTTTCAGCTAAGGTGACAGATCCTATCTGTACAACCATTTCTTTATTCATTCACTTCCATAATATGTCAGTGGTCAATGAACATAGTCAACTACAAATGAATCAGCACCCATGAAAAATTAGAAATATATCCAGTTTGGCAAAAATTCAGTTCTGGTTGAATTCCTCATTGTGTGCAAACAGCTCAGTAATTCAGTTGGGAAGGATGAATCACATCTTCTGACCAATAGGTTCTCGCGACACTGCAGTGTCAGGGGACAGGAGCAGGCCTTGGGGGGGAGGGAGATGAGCTAAGGCAAAGCACGTCTTGGTAAAGGAAACCTTGGAAAAGAGAGAAGGAAGGAAGCATCGTTGCAAAATGTCTGTTTGTAACCTAGGAAAGGGGCGTGAAAAGATAAAAAGCCCTTTACTCCAGGAAGGCAGATTTAGGCACCTGGCACCCCACCTTCACCTTAGAAAACCTGCAGGATTTATTTCAGCCTCACTTGGCAGGATCAGTCTTTTTGAACCCAGACTCTACCCTGCCTGCAGCCTTCACCCCCTACTCCCTGGGGCTGGGTCCTGGGGATGGCCCCTTGGCTCACTCTTACTCTCGGGGTTCCACAGGTAAGGCAGACTACTCTTCAAACTGCACTGGTGTTCTATCTTCTTTTCATAGAGTTTATTTATTTATTTTTAGAGAGAGGGGAAGGGAAGGAGAGAGGGGGAGAAACATGGGAATGTCGGTTGCTTCTTGTTTGTGTCCGGACCAGGGACTCAGTCCATCCACTTTGCAGTCCCACATGGCAGTTCAGGGACTGAACTTCCAACCCAGGCACGTGCCCTGACTGGGAATTGAACCAGAGACCTTTTGCTTTGTGGTACAATGCCCAACCCACTGAGCCACTCAGTCAGGGCACCTGCACTGGTGCTTTAAAATTGTGTTTTGGGTGTCCATTGGGGTCTTACCCTCAGCACATACCCCTATAAGGGTATGAGTCGTTGAATTAGGGCCCACACCAATGCAGAATGACCTCATCTTACCTTGATTCCATCTTCAAGGACCCTATTTCTAAATAGGCCATGTTCACATGTGCAGAGGGTGAAACTACTTCAACGTATCTTTTGGGGGGGGCACAATTCAACCTGTAACACTTTTGTGTTTTGACTCTCTATTCTGCCCATCCTAGCTCTGTACATCAGTAGCTCTCAATTGAATAGTGGATTTACTCTCCAGGAAGTTTTTCCCGCTCATCCCTGGGAGACCTGACCTGAGCTCCATTGTGCCATCATCGGCAACCCAGGCTGACTTCTCCTTAGGCACAGAAGGCCCAGGGCCTAGGGCCCACTTTAGGCACAGATTTTAATGTTTTTAGAAATCAGCAAAATAATAAATATATTCCAGTCTGTATTATATTCATTTTTATATTGAATACCAATGGGATTATAAAATATCATTTTTACTGTCTTTTCAAAGTCTCACCCAAAGGATATGTTTCAAAGACTCACCCAAGGATATGTTTATTGATTTTTGAGAGAGAAACCTTGATTGGGTGCCTCCTGTAGGCATCCTGACCAGAAATCAAACCTGGGATCTAGGTGGCATCCTGACCAGAGATTGAACCCACAATGCTTTGTGTATGGGATGATGCTCCAACCAACTGAGCCACTTGGCCAGGGCAATTTTTACTATTTTTTTTTAAATGGAGGAAGGGACCCATGGAGGCCAAAGTGACTTGGGCCCATGAATATCACAACTTGGCCTCATTGACAACCACGTTCTATTTCCCAATTCAACGTAGGCCAAGGCAAACTCAGGAGATGCTCATGTGTCCCCAGTGAAGTGGATTTAAGTAGTGATCCACAATCCCTTATCTGGGACCCAGGGGTCAGAATCGTGCCAAAGTTCAGATTTTATATTTTAACAAGATGATATGTTTACCCAGATGATATGTTACAAAACACTTCCAGTGGTCCTAGGTCACACTCATGGCTGTTTCTGCTATGAAACCAGAATGTTCACGCTAAGTGGGTAACTATAGAGGATAGTAGCCTTGGGTCCGTTCAGATCGCCAAAGATGCAAAAAATGAAACAAAATCTGGGGCTCAGATCTTTTTAAGATTTCAGAAACACAGAGAGGGAATAATGAACCTGCACAAGCAGAACCTCCTGCATGAATAAAGGAAACCATAAAGCGCTGTCCTGGCTGCCAGAGGCCCTGATGCTGCTAACTACTGGGTCTCTGAGTCTTTTTTTCTTGTGGTAACTTCCCTGTCATACTGGGTGACTTCCCAGGTGACTGAGGCTGGCTGTTATTGGCAGGGGCACCAAAGAGCTGATCAGAAGCTCCAAAGGCAAGGACAGGCTGAGTGGGTGTGACCAGCTCTTGGCTAGGGTTTGCCAGTGTCCCCCAAGATCTTTTCTGTGGTACCAGACAGGACTAGGGTCAGGCAAATGAGGCACTCACTTCTGGTGCAGAATTTAAGAGAGGGCGGATGCCAAAGATCTCAGTAATCAAGATCAATATTATTTTAATGTTATATTTTTAAAAAATCAAACTGCTCAAATCGGATCACTAGCTGGTTGCCTGTTTTAGTAAATTGACTTTTTTTGGAGCCAGAACCGAGCAAGGTGGGTGAAGCAAAGCCTGGCAAGTATAGGGTCAGAGTCTGTCCTCGTTTAAAATGCTGGTATTTTGTCCATCAGGGATTTTAATCTTTTTAAATAGTATTTACCTTGATGACTAAGTTTTGGGGTGTCTCCTCAAATTTGGTGCTCGTAGCACTGCTGCTGTGCCTGTCTGTTTTCTCAGCAAGACACTCCAATCTCTTGCCCAGGGTTCCTCCAGTCTCTTGCCTAGGGTGTTGGGGTGGGATGTTCATAAGCCCACACCTGCCAGAGGCCCCAGAGCCAGGGCCGGGTGGAGGTCCGAGTTCCGAGCTCCAGAGACAAACTGTTCTTTAACCCTTGTGTTTTTTCTCTTTGGCAGTTGCCTGGAGGCTTGAACCCAAGGCTCTGCATTCAACCTTTTGACCTTCGAGATAGTAAGTCTCAGGGAGGGTACCAAGAGGAGTCTGACTTCTCACAAAGACCATCAGTCTTCTCAGTCAGTCTATCCACTGTGCAGTCCCACCTGGCATGCCACCTGCCAGGACTGCTGCCTCCAATTCCGGAGCATTTTCCGGCTTCCATGATGGGAATAGACTTGGCTCTGGTTGACCCTAACGTCTCTCTGCTGTGTCCCCTAATGCTCAACCACCTATGCGCGGTGTCTTTGTCAACTTTCTCTTCATTCTTTGTCTGCTGTGGTCTCCTCTTAGGCCTTCTCTGATCTTGTTAGGATCCTAGTTCTTTCCTGTCACTTTATCAGGAAACTTCAACTGCCAGGCTCAAATAACAGAAGCATATTCATTCGTTCGTTCGTTCGTTCGTTCGTTCCTTCCTTCCTTCCTTCCTTCCTTCATTCATTCATTCTCTCTCTCTCTCTCTCTCTCTCTCTCTCTCTATCTCTATCTCTGGCTCTCCTTCTCAGGTTTTGTTTTATTTGCTTAGTTCTACTTTCTGTTTTATTTGCATAATTGCCCTTTCCCCTCTATTTTAATTTGTAGAGCTGCCAGTTCTCTCTCTCTCTTTTTGTTTTTTGCAGAGTTGCTATTTCTCTAATTTATTTGCAGAGTTGCTATTTCTCTTGTGACGGGCTGGATGCTTACATCTTAGTGAGAGTAAATTCTCCCTGGATCCTGTCTCACTATGAGATCTGGTTTCCTCCGAAGTCATTTTGCAGCCATAACTGTTGGTAGCCGGAGGCATGGGTGTGGCCAAGAGGAAGACCTTGGCTGAGGAGATGCAGTTCTTGCTGGGGCCTTGAGCTTTGTGCTGTCTCTCTGTCTCTCCTGAGATCCAGCTGCATGATATGAGTTAGGGCTCACTCCCCGAGTGAGAAGCCTTTGCTGTCCATTCCACCTTTGGGAGGCCCCAATGTGGATGAAGAGGCTTGAACAGTAAGGGTTTTCTCCTCAACTTCTTTGACAGCTGCCTGTTCGCCACTTCCTATTCCTCCCACCCATGTAGTTCTCTTCAAATTGAGATTATTTGGAACTTGTCAACTCAAGTTCTTACATCAGGACTCTTTCTAGAGGGTAGAGTTAGGAATTTCATACTCTTCATTCAGAGCTCCCCTCCAGAATATTCTGATTACTTCCATGGCACAAGATTTACTTTAATTTTTTTTATTTACTGGTGAGAGACAGAGAGAGAGAGAGAGAGAAATCAACCTGTTGTTCCACTTATTTATGCATTCATTGGTTGATTTTTGTATGTGCCCTGACTAGGGATGGAACCCACAATCTTGGTGTATGGGAATGAAACTCCAACCAACTGAGTTACACGGCCAGGACCATAATATTTACTGTAAATTGCCACATACTTCCTGGGAGGCCATGTTTATCCTGAAAATACAGTGAATTTCAAAAGGCTCCCCTCCTGGTCTCTAGCGCCCCCTAGAGGCTGTTCTCAATTGCTCAGCATTGTATGAGAGACAATTGCATGTGAAATTAGATATTGAAACCTTAACTTGAGGCTAGTAAGGGCACACAGGATAACCCTGTCCTCTGGACTTGACGGAGTGACAACCTAAAAATGTTTCATCTAACAACAGTGCTCTATTTACCATTCAAACAGCCTGCAGTCTGGCCTCACCCTGCCATCTGTTCCCCACGGGCCTTTTTATAAATTAATTTTAATGATATTAATCTGTAATTAAAAATTAAAATAGGCACCTAACAAGCACTACCTTGGCCAGGCAATCAAGGTGCACATCAACAGCGGAAGTCATGTGGTTAGTATGTGCCCTTAGTGTGCTGTGACAAGAATGACAATTTACCTCTGTGGACTTCCTCCCCCAAACCCATCACGCCAGACTAATCATGACAAAAGCATCAGACAAATTCCAGTTGATGGACAGTCTACAAAATCATCCCCTTTTTCATCTTTATTTTTCTCCATAGGACTTTCTACCATCTAACACACTATCTAGTAATAGAAGCTCCAGATGGGCAGGTATTTTAATCTGTCCTGTTCATTGCTAGACTCCCTTCTTGAAAACAGTTCCCGATCACACCAAATTTAATGAATAATATTCACTTCCCCCTCTCCCCGGCCACAAACTATCTTCTGTTCTCAGTGAATGGCACTCTTATCCATCCAGCTGCACAGACCAGGAACCTGGAAGTCACCTTGAATTATTCCCTCTCCCCACACTATCCTCCCTCCACCATTACACATCTATTGCTATGTCTTCGTTTTACCTCTTAAGTATCTCCTGAATCCACTTCTCTCCATTTCCATTGCCAGCAATTTAGTTCAAGCTATCATCATCTTGCTCCTGAAGTCCTGTACCCTCTTACCAGAGACCGCTATAGAACCAGTGAGCATGGGACCACTCTAAAACCTTTAAAACCTTCAAAGGTTTGCATTGCTCTTCAGATAAAGATCAAAATCTACTCTCATCTCAGTCTACCCATGCCCAATCCACTGAGCTACACAGCTAGGGCTTGATTTATTTTTAGAAAGACAGGGAGGGAAAGATCAATTAGTTGCCTCTTGCATGCACTCCAACTTGGGGACCAAACCTGCAACCCAGGCTTATGCCCTGACTGGGAATTGAACTTGCAACTTTTTGCTTTATGGGATAACACCCAAACAACTGAGCCACACTGGTCAGGTCCCACAAAAAAATCTTGCCCTGGCTGGTGTAGCTCAGTGGATTGAGCACGGGCTTGAGAACAAAGGGATCATGGTTCGGTTCCCAGTCAAGGCACATGCCTGGGTTGCAGGACAGTTCCCGGTGGGGAATGCTTGGGAGGCAACCACACATTGATGTTTTTCTCCCTCTCCCCTTCCCTTCCCCTCTAAAGATAGGTAAATAAAATCTTTTAAAAAAATTTAAGTGCTATCTACATATAAGGCATTGCTTCATATAAGGAAGATTTGAAAATGAGATTGTATAGCATGGGGAGAAAAAGGAACCCTCATGCACTGTTGGTGGGAATGCAGACTGGTGCAGCCACTGTGGAAAGCAGTGTGGACTTTCCTCAAAAAACTAAAGAAGGAACTGCCTTATGACCCAGTGATTCCACTACTGGGAATATGTCCAAAGAAACCCAAAACACTAATTTGAAAGAATATATGCACCCTTATGTTTATCGAAGCCTTATTTATAATAGCCAAGATATGTGAATTAAAAAGCTGTGGTACATTTACACAATGGAATACTACTGGGCTGTAAAAACAAGAAGGAAATCTTATCCTTTGTAAACAGCATGGACAGACCTGGAGTGTATTATGCTAAGTGAAATAAAGCAGTCAGAGAATGACAAGTACCATATGATTTCATTTATATTGGAACCCAATGAACAAAATAAATGAACAAACCAAATACAGACAGACTCATAGAAACAGAGAACAGACAGCTCTCAGAGGGGAAAAGGGTTGGGGGTGGGTGAAAAAGGTTAAGAGATTAAACGGATAAACAAACAAAAACCCTCATTGACACAGACCACAGTATGGTGGTGGCCAGAGGGAAAGGCGGGGACAAGCGGTGATGGAAGGAGACTTGGGTTGGGGTGGTGAACACACAATACAATATACAGATGATGCATGATAGAATTGTACACTTGAAACCTATATCATTTTATTAACCAATGTCACCCCAATCAATTTAATTTTTAAAAAAGGATGTTGGAATCAGATTGGTTCAAGTCCCAGCTCTACAATGTGTCACCCTTCTGAAAGTTGCTTAAATCTCAGAGTTTGTTTCTTCACTTACAAGATACAAATAATAAGAGAACTTGCTGTGTTTTTGTGAGCATTGATGTGGGTGAGAAAATGTTTGGCACAATAACTGATACTTTGTTATTACTATTATCAACAGAAGGTATCCGTTTTCTTGTCCTATAAGGAGGTAAGAGAAATGGCTAGTACCACCATGATGGTGTAGAAAAATAGTGGAAAAACGCCAATAATCAGATGTGGCTGTGTAGATAAAGTAGAGATAACGCTCGCCTGGAGATCATGAATAATATTATGATAGAAGCTGGATCTAAACTCTCCTTGGGACTGACCAAAGTTTCATCAAGAGTTATATTGCCCTGGCTGGGTGGCTCAGTTGGTTGGAGTACTGTCCCATACACCAAAAAGTTTGCAGGTTCAATCCCCAGTCAGGTCACATGCCTAGGTTATAGGTTTGATCCTTGGTTGGGGTGCTTGTGGGAGGCAACCAATGGATGTTTCTCTCTCTCTCTCTTTCTCTTTCTCTCTGCCCCCTCATCTCTCTGTCTCTCTCCCCTCCCCCTCTTCCCCTCTGTCTCTAAATCAATAAATATATCCTCGGGTGAAGACTAAAGAAGAAAAATAAAAGTTATATTAGTAGGTTGAAACTATAGCTTGTGTGCTACAGATCTATGAACCATATCATGGTCCAGCAGCAGCAGCCAGGTGGTGGGGGCATCTTGATTAATGCTTCTGCAAAAGCTCCCCAGGTTTTCTCATCATAATCTCACATAACTCCATCTTCAACTTCTTTTAGCACCATGAAGCTGAACACAGCGAAAACTTAAAATTGTTCTGAATGTAATTCAGTGTAATGCATTTAATTTTTAAGTGAACTCCCACTTCCAAACTCATATAAAGTAAGTGAAGCACTGTTGATTTCATCATGAAATACCTGGCAGGTATTGCTACTCTAATATTGTGCCTACACTTTTGATTTTCCTTAGGAAAATATGACCCTTCAGGCTTTGCTTCTGACCTGCCTTTTCCTGCTAATCCTTGATTCCTGGGAGTTCTTCACTAAAGCAGCTTATTATAGAAGAAGCTATCCTTGTGATGAGAAAGTCCAAGGTGTCTCTGTTATTGCAGAATGCAATGATCGTCGACTTGAAGAAGTTCCCCAAACTGTGGGCCAAGATGTCACCGAGCTAGACTTGTCTGAAAATTCAATCACACACATAACAAATGAATCATTTCCAGGGCTGCAAAATCTTACTAAACTCAATCTAAACCGTAATGCCATGCTACAGCCCTACTGGGAAAGTTATTATAGAAATAAAAAAGGCATGAATATTACAGATGGGGCATTCCTCAACTTGCAAAACCTCATGGTGTTACTGCTTGAAAACAACCAATTACACAAAATACCGTCCGATTTGCCAGGGTCTTTGAGAAGACTTAGTCTAGTAGAAAACAACATAATTTCTGTAACTAAAAACAACACTTCTGGACTGAAGAATTTGGAAAATCTCAATCTGGGCTGGAACTGCTATTATGGCAATGTTTGTAATAAAACTTTTGAAATAGAAAAAGGAGCATTTGAAGAGATGACAAATTTGAAGGTGTTAACACTATCCTTCAGTAACCTTTCCCGTGTGCCCCTCAACCTGCCAAGCTCCTTAACAGAACTTTATCTTAGCAACACAAATATCAACAACATCAGTGAAGCAGACTTCAGGAAACTAGAAAACTTAACAGTACTAGATTTAAGTGGGAACTGTCCAAGGTGTTTCAACGCCCCATTTCCCTGTACACCTTGTGCAGGAGATGCTTCGATGTACATACCTCCTAATGCTTTTGATAGTTTGACCAAACTCAAATACCTCAACCTCTCTAGCACTTCCCTCCGGAAGATTCCTGCAAGCTGGTTCGACAAGATGCCTTATCTGAAGGAGCTGCACCTTGAATTCAACTATTTGGTACAAGAAATAGCCTCTGGGGAGTTTTTAACAAAACTGCCCAACTTAGAAATACTTGACTTGTCTTACAACTATGTAAAGACAGCATATCCACAAAGAGTTAATCTTTCCCCAAACTTCTCTAATCTTACATCTCTCCGGGCATTGCACTTAAAAGGTTATGTGTTCCAGGAACTTGTATATGAAGACTTCCTGCCCCTGATGAACCTCTCAAATTTAACAACGATTGACTTGGGCATTAACTTCATTAAGCAAATTAATTTTAGCATTTTCCAGCATCTCCCCAATGTGAAAGTCATTTATTTGTCAGCAAACAGAATATCACCCTTGGTGGATGATATTAGGTCAAGTTCTGCAAGTTTCTCCACGGTCCGAAGTCATGTCCTTAAACCACGCTCAGCAGATGGTGAGTTTGACCCACACGCGAATTTTTATCACAGTACCAATCCTTTAATGAAGCGACAATGTACACATTATGGCACAGCCATAGATTTAAGCTTAAACAGTATTTTCTTCATTGGGAAAAAGCAATTTGAAGCTTTTCCTAACATTTCCTGCTTAAATCTGTCTTCAAATGGCAATGGTCAAGCATTAAATGGAAGTGAATTTTCAGCTCTGCCTCATGTCAAATATTTGGATTTTACAAACAATAAATTGGACTTTGATTATGATAGTGCTTTCAATGAATTGCCTGAGTTAGAAGTTCTAGATCTAAGCTACAATGCACACTATTTCCGAATAGCAGGGGTAACACACCGTCTAGGATTTATTAAAAATTTAACAAAGCTGCAAATTTTAAATCTGAGCCACAACGACATTTATACCTTAACAGAGTACAACCTGAGTAGTGAGTCCCTGAAAGAATTAGATTTCAGTGGAAACCGCCTTAACGTTTTGTGGAATGGTGAAGATAAGAGGTACATGTACATTTTTAAAAATCTCAGGAACCTCACACAGCTTGATTTATCCTTTAATAACCTTGTGCACATCCCAAATAAAGCATTTATTAACTTACCCAGGAGTCTCACTAAACTATATATAAATGATAATAAGTTAACTTTCTTTAACTGGACATTACTCCGGAACTTTTCTTGTCTCCAGTTGCTGGACTTAAGTAGAAACCATCTATATTTTTTAGATGATAGCCTATCTAAGCTTGCAAAATCTCTTGAGACGCTACTACTGAGTGGCAACAGGATTTTCTACCTGCCCCCTGGCTTTCTTTCAGACAACAGCAGTCTGGTACACCTTGATTTAAGTTCCAACCTGCTAAAAATGATCAATAGGTCCACGCTTGAAATGAAGGACAAGAACACCACGTTAACCCTTTTGAAACTAGATGGAAACCCTTTTGAGTGTACCTGTGACATGGGAGATTTTCGAAGATGGCTGGATAAAAATGTGAATGTCACAATTCCTAGACTGACAGATGTCATTTGTGCCAGTCCTGGGGATCAAAGAGGGAAGAGTATTATGACTCTAGAGCTAACCACATGTGTTTCAGACGCCACTGCGGCCATATTATGTGTCTTCACATCCTTCATCACCATCATGATTATGTTGGCCGCCCTGGCTCATCACTGGTTTTACTGGGATGTCTGGTTTATCTATCAAGTGTGTTTAGCTAAGATAAAAGGCTACCGGTCTCTTTCCACATCCCAAACATTCTATGATGCTTATGTTTCTTATGACACCAAAGATACTTCTGTCACTGACTGGGTGATCAATGAGCTGCGCTTCCACCTCGAAGAGAGTGAGGACAAAAATGTGCTCCTCTGTTTAGAGGAGCGGGATTGGGACCCAGGATTAGCCATCATCGATAACCTCATGCAGAGCATCAACCAGAGCAAGAAAACAATCTTTGTCTTAACGAAAAAGTATGCAAAAAGCTGGAGCTTTAAAACAGCGTTCTACTTGGCCTTGCAGAGGCTAATGGATGAAAATATGGATGTGATTGTGTTTATTCTGCTAGAGCCAGTGTTACAGCATTCTCAGTACTTGAGGCTGAGGCAGAGAATCTGCAAGAGTTCCATCCTCCAATGGCCTGACAACCCCAAGGCAGAAGGCTTGTTTTGGCAAAGTCTGAAAAATGTGGTCTTGACTGAAAATGATTCACGGTATAACAATTTATATGTCGATTCCATTAAGCAATACTAGCTGATGTTAAGTCACGGTTTCCCAACATAATACAAAGGCAAAGTGATGACCCTTCTGCTTTTGTAATCTATTGCTGTATAGCACATCACCCCCAAACTTAGTGGCTTAGAATGGCACAGTTGGTTATCTCATAGTCTTTGTGGACCGGGAGTCCAGTATGGTTTAGCTAGGTCCTCTGCTTGGGGTCTCTCAAAGGCTGCAATCTAGGCATTAGCCAGGGCTACAGGCATCTCCTGGGGTTAGGATCGCAGTCTTTAACAGACCCCAAACTCACACTCATGTTGTCATTTTCAAGATTTGGTTCATTCTGGACTGTTGGCTAAAGGCGGCTCTCAATTCTTGTTCACAGGGACCTCTCCCACATGGCAGTCTGCTCATCAAAGAAAGAGTTTTCTGGCAAGGCAGAAGTGACCATCTTTTGTAATCTGATCCAGGAAGTGATATCCCATTCCTTTGGCCATACTCTATTGGTTAGAAGTAAATCACAGGTCCTACCAGCTCAGTGGGAATGATCACCTCTGTCCCAGGAAAATAGTCTGTGACCACAATGGGTGGCTGTGATGGCCTCAGTCAGAGACTGTGTGTCAGGAGGTGGGATCTGTATGAGTCATCTAAGCAGTGGCCTACTCCACCTTCTTTTAAATATGTAAGAACTTTTGAAACTCACAACTCTTTCTGATGTTAAGTTGCTGTTCAGAGTTATCATACATCCATGACTACACGATTACATTATGCTGTGGTTGTGTTAGTCTTTTAGAGTTACTTTTACAAATATTGGCTATAATATTTGACTTCTAAGGTTTAGATGCTATTTAAAGGCTGAAGTAGATCAATTTTAAGTGGTTTATTATTTTATTTCTTTACCATTTTTTAGAGTATGCAGCTGAATGAGAAGCATTGGGAGTACCTGTGCATCATCATTACTGTGACCCTTGAAAAATTAAAAATGCTTCCTTCTGCATGATGAGTATATAATAAATATAAAGTAGGAAAACAGTTCTAGGATCTAAAAGAAATTGCCATCTTTGCTGGGGTTTTTGAGAACACTTAAAAAGTCTTTGGTAGCAATCAAAGGGGGAAGAGTTTTCATGAAATTTGTACATTCCAATAATTATTAACAGAAAAATTAATTCTCGCTTTACCCCCTACTCAGAAGTCATAAAGTCGAAATGCCTGTCTGTTGGCCCCTTTTATGTTTTTCTCTCAAATTAAACAACTGTGGTGCTCCCTGCCGTCTCTGCCATCCCCTCGGTTCCTGTGCATCCGTCCATAGCATCCTCTCTACCATAGGTATGAATCCTGGAGAGACGCCTTATGAAATTTACCTGAGAATAGCTGGCAATTTTCCAGGCTTAAGAAAACAAAGTCCCTTTGGAATGAAAAGAAGAAAAAAATCTCCAACGCACCATCCTCCCTTAAGTACATATACTCCTGAAGTCCTCTCTATCAGCTCACTTTGCTTCTCTGTTTTTCTCTTGCAGCTGTTCAAGATTTGCCAAATCCCTGTTTGGCACTGGTCTCTGTCTGTTGGCCCCTGTTAAATAATAACCCCTCCTCCAAACTATAGGTATTAGAATGCCTAGTTATGGACATGGCAAAGGAAGTGGGTGACTCTGGGCAAATCATTGCCCCTAACTGAGCATACTTCCCCATTTGGAGAATGCACTAAGTGATCTCCAAGGTGTTTTCAAATATTACAATTGTATTAGTTTCCTAGGGCTGCCATGAGAAAGTACCACACACTCAGTGGCTTAAAACCACAGAAGTGTATTGTCCTGGTTCCGGAGGCTGGAAGTCCAAAGTCACAGTGTCTGCAGCGCTCCTAGCCCTCGGAAGCCTGCAGGGAGGATCCTTCCTTGCCTTTCCAGATTTCCAGTGTTCGCTGGCAATCCTGGGTGGGCCTTGGCCTGTAGCTGCATCACTGCAACATCTGCCTTCATTTTTACATGGTTGTCTTCCCTTGGTGTGTCTCTCTCCTTATAAGGACACCAGTCATATTGGGTTCAGGGTCCACCCAACTCCAGTCTGACTTCATCTTAATTAAGTACATTTGCAACGGCCTTATTTGCAAATGAGATCACACCGGGAGGTTAGAGCTTCAACATAAGATTTGGTGGAAGGGGCAAGGGGAGCATGCAGTTCAACCCATAACAACCACCATGGCTTTTCTTTAGAAATTACTCAGAATTCCATGAAACTTGAAAATGCCCTTGGGAATGGGAAAGTCATTTACGATTGTTGTACAAATAAAGGCAATTTCCCTCTCAGCTCTGAATAAAGCTGTTATAGTCATGTGGCCAGGTTTCCACTGTCATTATCCTTGAACTGAAAGCCATAATAATATCCATCATTTCCAGTGAGCACGGAAGAAGATCACATGATTGTGTTCCCTTCCACAATTGAGTGTTTTCAGGGAACGGGGGAATTGGGAAAGCCCTGTGTGTCGGCAATCATGCTGCTGTTTTGCAGGGACAAGGCAAGGGATCGCTGTGTTTTGAAGCTGAAGGGGGCATCCCAGGACTTCCTGTGCCAATGACCCAAAATGGAAAGTGATCTTTATAAATGTCCCTCCAGTGTGCAAAGGGAGGAGACTAGATGTGAAATTCTTCAGATGTTAACAAAACAAAAACAAAACCCCACTTATGATGGCAGAATATTGCCATCAGGACGCTGTTGATCAGAACCTTGTTTTCTGGTGAAACATGCCTTTCTAGGAGTAGGGAGAAAAGACCCCTCTGTTTTATCTTCCCAGTCTTCTTCCCCTTTGGCATTATACCTGCACTGTTTTAGGGATAACTTTGTAGTGATGTCAGCAATGACGACACCAGAAGCTCAGAGATGACAGAAAGTGATGTCTGGGCTGGGAAGAAGCACCAGAATCCTCAGGCTCACTGTTGACATTTCCACCTCCTTCCCAACCATTCAGCAGCCACTCTTTTTTTTTTTAAAGATTTTATTTATTTTATTTTTACAGAGTGGTGAATAGATGGTCACCTCTCACACGCCCCCCACTGGGGACTTGGCCTACGACCCAGGCATGTGCCCTGACTGGGAATCGAACCAGTGACTCTTTGGTTCACAGGCTCAGTCTACTGAGCCACACCAGCCAGGACTCTTGATTTGACCTCCTACATTTCTCTCCCATCCATCCTCCATCACCATTATCAAAACCTCTTGCCCAAACCACCAGCATCTCTCATTGCTTCCTGGCATCCACTCTAGTCCCCCCAATTCCATTCTAGCAGCCAGAGTGATTCTTATAGAAGATGTGCCTAATGAATTCAGTTTAAAATTTTAACTCATGAACTAGGCTCACAAGGCCCTCGGTAACCTCCCATTTGCCTGTCCTCCGCCCTCCACTCTAAGCACCCCCAGTAAGAGCCTGTAGTTCATGCCAAGAACATACCAAACACCTCACTGCCTACATGCATGGTACTGCCCCGGGGCACCTCTTCCTCCAGCCTTCACTTAGTCAATTACTGCTCACCCTTCAGGGAGAGGTTACATGTCATTTAAGGAGGCTTTCCCCTAACCACTAAATCTTCCTTAGATGCTCCCTCATCATCTCAGTATTTATCACGAGTTTTGTTGGATAAGTGATAGAGAAATAGATAGTGTGGTATTAACACGTGGGTCTTCCATTAGACTATAGGCTCAAAAAATGAGGGGAGGTGCCTTTTTTGTCCATCACTCTGTCCCCAGTATTCTTTAGCATGCCTGATACACAATGAACATTCTGGAAAATACTTTTCAAGTGAATGAAGGAAGGTTCAGACAAACTCCAGCTGCAGGCTAAGACAGATGCTGTGTACGCAGGAGGGCACACTGCGACATGTCACGCCGCAGCACCTGTGCATAGGGGGCAGGACTTTTTCTATCACCTGTCCTCCATCAGTGGCAAAAAGTACTTACAGAAGACACACTTTCTGTTCTCAAGGATCTGACTGTTTGGAAATAGATTAAATTGGCCTTGTTCATATGTTCCATTTCCTGTTCAATGCCAAACCCATTATTGGAGGAGTATCAACACATATCCCAGGATCCATATAAAAGTTATGAGTTTTATTTCTGTTCAACATTGTTCTGCCCAGCAATGTTCATTTTCCTGGGTCCTTTTCTTCTTAGTACATTTGGGAAAAACTCCCCTTTCCCACTCCTAGTAGCAAGCATGTGGTTGTCTCTTGGATACTTACTGTACAGCGCCAATAACCTTGGATGCCACAGTGCTGATTCCATGAGGGTTCCATTGTAAGCCTGGGAAAGAATGATTCACATTCTTATCTGAATGTTGGCCTGGGGTTCTGAGCAAGTGCGGCACAAACGAAGAAGAAGGGAAGGGAAGATGTCATGAAATAGAAGTGAGTTGAGAACTACTGTGTAGAGACCATAAACAAATACATCATAGTCATGAGTCTGAATTCAGGCTCACAGAATGCAGTCCCTGGCTGGGTTAGCACTGGATACTTTTGCAGGGGTGTCCAACCCGCGGCCCATGGGCCACATGTGTCCCAGCATGGCTGTGAATGTGGCCCAACACAAAATCAGAAATTTACTTAAAATATGATGAGATTTCTTCGTGATGATGTGTCACAATGTATTTAGTGTGTGGCCCAAGACAACTCTTCTTTTTCCAGTGCGGTGCAGAGATGCCGAAAGTTTGCATACCCCTGTGTCTATGGCACCATTCAAAGCAAAATGTCCATGTCATGGTAGTAAGTACTCCGCCAAACATGCTCCTGAGGTCAAATAGCTTTAGGAACTGCTTGGTTATTACAGTGTTTCTCATATGCATTGTGCTCTCCAAAAGGGAGCTAGCTGTATTATATTGCGTCCCAAACTTATTTGACCACAGATTTTCTTTTGGAAGGCACCTTCTCTTGCTCTTTGAGAATGCTGGTTTGAAGGCTTGATAGAGATTCACTCAACTTGGAGAATCCCTGGAAGTGTTTTCAGGCGTATGGTGCCAGTCATTATTCTGAGGTACACTGTTCTGTTTTAAAATCAGAAAAGAAAAAGAATCCAGGCCATGTGCCTTGAGGCCTTTATAACCAGATGATTAGCTCCTTGAATGGGTCCTACCGGGTCTTGGGCACATCATTGCTTCTAAAGAGAGACGTGACAACAAAGCAGACAACAATCTAGAAGTAAATAATGAAACTGTAAAAATGATAGATTCTTCTTTGGTATAGGGCAAAGAGGTTAATATTCATTCCTAAAGCATTGTTAGCCATATAAAGAATGTTTAGTACTCGACATAAAGTGGAAACAGACATCATACTTCCGCTGATTGGGCGATCCTTTGCTGTGGCTGAGTGAACTATGTAGGGTCCTATTGTGCTTTCAAAGATGTTAAATCCGGTGGAATTGACTAAAGCAATTAGTCTGTGATCTTAAAAGAATTTCGGCTTTTGAATCGGCAAACCAGATCCAATCCAGGTTGTCTACTATTGAGATATTGTGTGTATGTCAGGCTGAAGTACACATATATGTGCACGTGGCAAAGTATCTATATGTAGTCAAAGATGGTGATGACCGACTGATTAGCTGTTAACAAATTCAGTGGATAAAATGTAAAATAAAGGGAGGGAAATGAGAGCATCATGCAGCCATTTCTCTATTTTTGTTTAAATCTTTCTCTGCCTTCCATTTTATAATTGCACAGTCACCAAAAAGCATCACCTCATCATAAAAAAAAAAAACATGCACACACAAAAGACAAAACCCTGAAGATCCTCTGAGAGGCATTTCTCCTCCTGATGCAGCATGCACGGTAAAAAAGATGCTCAAGGTGAGCAGGTTTGAGCTGTGTAGGGTGGTGGGGAAGAGAAGAGAAGGAGCTGGGAGGTGTGCAGGTGAGTGTGTGGGTGAGAGAAGAAACGAGGCTGGGGGAGTGGAGCAAAGCCACAGTTTGGAGGCTGTTGAGTGAAGGAACACGACCATGTACAGGTGAGAAGGCAGGTTCAGAAAGGTGAAAGTGCTCAGCCCTGCTGACAGAGCTTTGTGTCACAGTGACAGTTTGTACCCAACTCACAGTTGCTTTTCCATCTCTGTCTCATGGCCTGTTGTTGTAAAGTTCAAATCAGATATCAGGGTATAAATCACAATGCCAATGGAAGGGATGAGTGGAATGAATGCCCTCCCACAATCCTTCAATGATAAAAAGCCTACGTTTCTAGGCTGTGAGTGGTTCTCAAACTTTGGCATGTATCACCTGAAGGGCTTACTAAAACACAGCGTGGGACAATCCCGAGAATTTGCATCACTAATGAGTTCCCAGGTGACGCTGATGTTGCTGGGTCGGGAGCACATTTTGAGGTATGTTCCCTAACTGGGAATTGAACAGGCTCCCTTTCGGTTCCCAGGCCAGCACTCAACCCTCTGTGTCACACCCGCCAGAGCTCTCTGCTCTGTCTTGATCACAGTAGGTTTATCTCCCTCCCCAACAAGTTTGTAAATTCCTTGATGGCAGGGGCTACAATTCATTCTTGCCTGTAGTCCTCACAGTGCCAAACACGGTGCATCTTAGGAAATGTTTAAGAAATGTTTGTGCAATAAAATTCTGGAAAGTGATCTAAGAAATATGTTCATTATATAAGTAGCACACATATTAACCTTTCTAGAGATTTCTATGGTTTGTTCACTGATGGCAATATGTTAAGACCAAATGAAAGTCTTCCTAACGATATGCGTTAAAGAAATGTTGAGGGGATATCGTCTGGACAAACACCTGCTGAATGGCACTTAAACCACGCCAGGTTGGCCTTTCCTAGCCTCGCTGTTCCTCCAACTCCTAGGAATGGCTTTGCTCATACCCTTTCAGCTTCCAGGGACCAGAGGTTTAAAGCTGGGCTGATCGAACACATGATCATCATTTTGTGATCGCGGTACATGAAACATTGCAAAAGGAAGGCTCATGGAAGATTCACATGAACCCATCCAAAGATAAAGTGCTAGATGAGCACCTCTCCCTATTGTCATTACCCAATCTGATCTTTTTAAGGGGAAAATTCTTCCTGCCTCCAGTGCTGTTAGGGCAACAGGGAGCAACAGCATGAGATGGGTCCAGGTGCGGGTTACCACCACCAGGGGGCGGCTTACAACGCTTTCTCAAGAGTCAATACCAATTACTGCAGGTAGATGGCAGCAACAGTCTACCTAAGGCTTTGGTTTTAACCACCAGAAGGGCGGGGGGGGGGGGGGGGAAGGCTTCCCCTTTGTTTGCTCTGAAACCTGGCGTCTCTCGGGCTAGTGGACTGAACGCCTCCTCCAACTAACACTACAAAAACCTCGGAGCAAACGTGTGGAAACTGAGAGTTGATGAAAAGCTGAATCCAGTGCTATTCAGAGAGTGGGCTCTGTTTCATAAAAAGAGCAGTTTGGGCAGGGGAACCTAACCCTAGGCGGTTGGTCCAGCAATTTCTAGGTTTAATCCATTTAGACCCGAACCTGTAAACTCAAGTGGAAGTTTTTTATTGGCTCCTGGTGATGTCACGCGAGGCTGGGAGAACTGGTTTTCTATGTGTGGGGCTTCTTTATTCCCTGAAACATCTTCTAGAAAACAAGCCCTGAGGCCTTTAACCCGGGCGGAGCCGGGGCCTCCGGTTGTAACCGGATACTAAGCCTTTCCCAAACAGACTCTTTATAAACAACCCCTCACCCCAAGAAATAGAAATATAAAGTGGGCGCAAGTACAATAAACTATGCACCGGCGGTTTTCACCTTGGCTGCAGGCGGAAATCACCTGAGAGTTTCAACCTGCACACACAGATTCTGGGTCCCACCCCAGAGATTCTGATTCACTCGGTTGGATGCAGACCAGGCAGCTGGAGATTTTGAAAGATCCCCACGCGATTCCAACGTGCTGCCAAGACTGGGAACCATTGTTAGAAACTCAGCCTTCGCCCCTGTGTTAAGTAAATTCTCACACCCACTAACTAAAGGCATGCCTCGTTTTATTGCGCTTCGCTATATTGTGCTGCACAGGTATTGCTGTCACCCCCAACACACACACACAACTGAGGGCACGACCCTCCCCACCAGCAAAAACATTATGGCTTGCTATTATCGAGATACTTGCCTTTATTACGGTGGTCTAGAACCGAACCTGCTCTGAAGTGTGCCTGTAGTTTATATTCCTTATGCCTTCCGCAAATTTAAAATAAAACCCAACCGTAAGAAACAATTAGCACTGGGTCAGAGGATTAGGAACCTGGTTAAAATCAAACATACAGCCAAGTCAGGCTCTGGCTGGTGTGGCTCAGTTGGTTGGGTGTCACCCTGTAGACAGAAAGGTTGCTGGTTCGATTTCCAGAATGGGCACAAGCCCCAGTTGTGAGCCGTGGTCGGGTTGGAGACGCCTGAGAGGCGACAGAATGCTGTTTCTCTTGCACATGGATGTTTGTCTCCCTTTCCCTCTCTATAAAAATAAATAAATATAATATTTTTTAAAAAGCAAACTCGGGTTTTTTTCCTCACTCTTTTGAATTGCTACCATTCAGTTTTCCCAAAGAATACCAGCCTGCTATTTACTTTATCCATTTCTGAATGAAGCAATTTCTGAATTGCTGACCTTCAAATACTTCCGGGTTGTGTAAAATGAAGCCATATGGGACTTTGTCTTTGAGTGACCTGGCACTTTGTTGGCATCAAATCCCTTTAACACTCTGTAGTTGGCAGTGAAGAATCAACTGTTTTCTTACGCTGCCTAACCTCTGGACTGGAAGGCTTCCAACACAATTTAAGTCAAGTGTATTGAAAGGCTACACAACAAAGCCAACAGTGTAGGCAATGCCTTCAGGGAGCCCAATGAAACCTCATTTCCACAGCCAAAAAAATGGCCATCTACCACTTTAGGATGATGGCTACATTTGTGAACAGGCCATAAGTCCCACAGTTCCTGTGGACAGTCAGTTAGACGAACCAGCTCACAAGGTAGATAGAGTTGGAGGGCCATATAGCATGCTTGCGACGGTGCAGTAGAAGGACCAAAGCCTTGGAGCCTATGTGACAAGTGGGCCTGTCACACGGCTGATGGCAATGTGGCATCACTGACTGTGGCACTGAGAAGAGGTGTGTGCCATCTGGGCAGCGACATCTTCTATAGACAGTCCCTCCCTACAATGTAGCAGATACTCGCCAAAGATTATACTCACATGGTTTCCTCCCCCTGTAGGAGCGTTTATGTTGATGGAGGTGGGGGGGTTACCATCTTTAAAACTTTAACCTACACGATCTCATTCCATTTCTGGGGCGACACTGTGAAATGGGCAGGGTGGATATTATTTCTGTTTTACAGATGAAAGCCTAAGGCTCAGAGAGACTGAAACAAATTGCTCAAGGCCACGCAGTGAGCAATCTATGAAATGGGTGTAATCAGCAGAAAAATTGCCCCCCCAAAGATGTCCACACCCTCACCCCTGAAACCTGCAAATATGTAGCTGACACAGCAAAAGGGTGGGAATTAAGGCTGCTAGTCAGGTGACCTTAAACATAGGTAGAGCACTGAATCACTCAGGTGGGACCCTTGTGGGACAAGGGTCCTTACAAGTCACAGGGGTAGAGAGGAGAGCCAGAGGTAAATGTATTTATATAGCATTGTCGGCTTTACAGATGCAGGGGCAAGCCAAGGAATGCAAGAGGCTTCTAGAAACAGCAAAAGGCAAGAAAGCAGACCCTTCCCTAGAGCCTCCAGAAGGGAACACAGCCCTGCAAGACCTGTGTGAGATGTCTGACCCTCAAAACTGTAAGATACCATATTGACATACCTTAAGTTGCTACATTTGGGTAATTGCTACAGCGGGGATAGGAAAGTAATCACAAGGTTGGGCCCCCTCATTCCTCAAGTCTCGGCTCAAATTCCATTCCCTGGGGGAGCCTCTTTTTTTTTTTCTTTTGCCCGTTCTCTAGGCCTTTGCTTTCTCCCCTGAATTGCCATAAAACCTGGCTTTCAGGTTTCACTTACCAATGCTTCTAATTCTTGGTGTGCCTGTCCACTTTCTCCCTAATTCCTAAGGGCAAGGTAGTATTGCATCACTTCTGCATCATTTTCTGCCAGCATGGGTCCTTCCCCAAGACCAAAGCATAATAACTAGACTGAGGATATATGAATAAACCAGGGAATGAGTGCTGGACCTCTAACATCAGCAACAGCACCGCACGCCACTGCACGCTGCTGCACACCTGAGCCCTGTGCTGGTCCAGCTGTGCTGGAGGACAATGAAAAGCGCGTCTCAGAAGGCTGGAGCTGCCCAGCCCCCCTTCCTGCAATGCAGTCTGCCTTTCATACCGCAGGCCCCCAGAAGTAGCCTTCCCCCGAGACCAGCCCCTTTCACAGAGGAAGGAGAGTTCTGGCTCTAGACGGAAGAGAAACAGGCGTGATAAATGGGTTCCAGGAGCCCCAGACTCCAAAGCTGCCATCTTTGTCTCAGCAAAGCTCGTAATTGGATTTGGGCCTTTAGGCCAGTCACTTAGTTACTCTGTCCTCATTTATCAAATGTAAGGAATTCCAGCTCTGTGCTCTGCTTACTTTCAAGGCTTCTGAAAAAAGAAAGGAAAGATGCATGCACGAGCCTTGACTACAGTCACGTAGCTAACACAGTGAGAGCAGATGTGACCACGTGATAAGAAGAG